ATGCTTTTTTCATTACTTTTGTGTGTACACAACTCTTCTTCTCTTTCTCTCCAGGGCAGCGTTTTACTAACATTGCGTAAGTTTTTACGTAAGACAATTACTCTTAACTTTACGCTTACGTTTTAAACTTACGTAAATCGTAAGTGCGTTTTCACAAACTTTCCGTAGTTTTTTCCTGTAGACTTACGTTAAAATATTTCGTAACTCTTCAAATGGAGGTTTAGAACTTCTTCACTATGAGGAGGCGTTGCGGAAAATCAATGTCAAATACACTGTCGTCTGTCAAAAATGGAAACTCATGAAACTGTCAACGTCAAACGCGCAAAGAAAGTTGAATTGGTCCAGGCTGAAGTCGAGAACTACGAAATTCATACTTGGAGTTTCGTAGTGTCATCGATGGACGCCGGGGAGTCACTTCTTCACTAATTACCAAGAAAGAGCAGACATGGAGGGGTATTCAGGAAAGGTAAATGTCTATCAATGTGATTCATTCAAACATTTTTTTCAGTTGAACAGAGCATAAAAAGTATTTACCAGTAGGTCCGTGATTTTGATATGCTTTTGCATTGCCATTAGATCTATTAAAACTTAACTGCAGTTCGGAATAAAAGCAAACGTGTTGATTCACAAAGATTACAAATAAAAAGGTGGGTGGGGGATGGGGGTACGGAAACGGTTTAACTGCATACATGCATGTAACGAACTTTGTATTCATAAGTAAAATGGTTTCAAGTGACAATGGAATCTCTTATTATTGTCATTTTTATTTATGCACATATATGATACAGACACTAGTCTATTAATTGTACTTATGTGTATGCAATCAGAATCGATGTCCAAGGATATTTTTACCTAAATTCTAAAAAGCCATTTCAGGAAAAAATTTGGCAAAACACTAATAAAAATAAGCTTTGAACTATACATGTATGTTTATGTATTAAAAAAAACACTAAATAATAAACTAATCATGTCATGAATATCTAGTTGATTTTAAACTTTGTTCCTTTGTGATTTTTTTCATTTTACATCCATCTTTTTGAAGAAAAAACACAGACTTTTGAATTGTGAAGGGGCCATGATAGGCCTCATTTACATAGCCAATGAAATGTCTGAAATCACGTATGGTATTTCTTTATATTTGAAAGATAAATAGAAAACAAAATGACAAATTCTTTATTTATTCATTCATTCAAATAAGTATGTCACAGTCTAGAAGTGTTTCACTTTTTAGGGGGAATATGTGTAAATTGTTGAATAGTGTGGAACAGTTTTCCGAAAATGCCGGGTTCAAGTCCATGACACCCTGTGACATATATGAAAATTTAGTACTTGCGGAAAGAAAAAAAAAATATTTTTGAATTGTGAATAATTATTTGACATAAATAGAAAAGATTGAATTCTTCAACAAGTATATTTTCAATATTTTTTTTTTGGGTGTTTCGTCTTGTGGATAAAATTAAAGTTTGTTAAACTTGTCAAACATAATGTTATAGAGGCTAGCTTTACAACACTGTCTTGAACTTGTTTCATAAAACTTTATATGACTAATCATGTGACACCAAACATTTTCTTTAATGTCAGCATGTTATCATTACTTTTGAAGTTTCAAAGAGTAGCTGAAATTAGGTCATCACTGAAACAGAGCAGATATAAACATGTCAAAAGGAAAATACATTACCTTGTTAAATATCAATCAAGTAAAAGATTATTGTTCCCTTATACTCTACCTAAACTTTAAAGCTAGTTTTCATATAAATCTGCTTCAGTTTTCTGACATGTTATGGTACGAGATTTTTGAAATATTTTTGAATGTGTATTTTTATATATTGCAATCAGGATAAATGCACAAAGAAAAGAAACCCCGGACATTGGAAACGAAATAAAGAAGAAGCTTTCAGACATGAAAAACATCAATAAGAAAAGGAGAGGGAGAGGAGACAGTTCCCACGGGGACGGGGGTGGCCCTGCCCTTACTAAGAACGGGATGAAAAGGTAACTAAAAAATAATTTTCTTTTTAAATGATTTTTGTTAATTTTTTCGCAGTTCAATTTAAATTCCCCCGGTTCATTTTTTATTCTAAAATTATTTTTTTCCGTTTTATGACCAATTGGGGAAGGTTTCATAGTACCATTTTTTTTTTAATTTTTTTTTTTAAAAAAAATTTTGGGGGAAAGGTTTCCCAATTAATATATATTAAAGGGGAAGAAAAAAAGAAAAGAAAGAAAATTTTATTTTAAATTTTTTAGTTTTTATAAATAAATTTTTATGGAAAATTTTTTTAAAGATTGGATTAGGTTTACTTTTAAAAAATAAAAAATAAAATTTAAATTTTTGTTCAAATTTAAAAATTTTTTTCAAAAAAAAATAAAAAAAAGAAAAATTTTGTTTAAAAAAGGGGGTTTTTAAAAAAAAATTTTTTTGCATATAACAATGTGTATGACCCTGAAGGAGATGCACGGGGAAGTGAAAAAATTTGTCATAAAATACAAAATGTAAAAAAAGTAGTAATTTCACTTTACTGTATATTTTCCCAAATAAAAAAGAAACATGTTATAGATATATGCTAATGCAATTTTTTTTTTGGAAACTTAAACAGGGCACCAAAAAAAGGGCTTTTTAAAAAAAAACTAAAAAAATAGGGCTTTTGTCAAAACTAATGTGCTTGAATGGAAGTATCATGTGAATCTTAAACCAAATGCTTTTTGGTTAAAAAAAATCCTGCTAGAATATATCTCAACTTGACTTTTCAATAAGTTTTTACAAGAACTGAACTGTGAAATCAAAACAATTTAATAATGTATACACATGTATGTTTCAATTCTTTTTTCTACCCGAAGTGCTCCATTTTTTCATTCTTTATTTAGATGATAGAAGCCATTGGGGAAGTGGCAGTTGGCCCGGTTTTGAAGGGGTGGATACATTCAGTATCAGTGTAGAAACTGGTAAGCATTATTCATTTCCAACCTTTTCTTAAATTGTAAAATGCTAGAACGTAGCTCCAGGTCAACCTTTGATATTTTCAAATTGAACAAGAGCTGTCGGTAGGACAGCAACGCTTGACTATTCTTAGTGCTTGATAGTAAGAGCCTTGATAATGTAAAATTTTCTGAGTTAATAACAAAAGGACAAATTTTTCTTGTCAGTGGACTTTGAAAATATTTGAGGTATTACAAAAAACTTTAACACATAATGTGGTTACGGCGACGGCTGATACCGACGGCCGGCGTGACTACAATACTCAAGTATTCTTATCAAATAGTCGAGCTAAAAACTATTTGAGTATAATTTTTTTTTTTACTGAAAAACAAGACAACACTATATACATGTATAGTTAGTTTATATATATTGTAAGTTTATCTAAATAGTCACAATATTACATGTATAAAACATTAATACAAGGAAACATTAAGTATTAAAAAAGTGATTCAACTATTTTTCAGCTGCCACAGATGAAAGACCCAATCTGTATTGACCAAATATCCCGAGGAACATTACAGGGAACATCTGCCAATGTTATGATACGAAAAAAAATACAGCCAAAGTAACAAAAAAAAGAAAAGCAGTGAAGTAGAATTTCATTTTCAAAATCTTAAATGTTTTGTTAGAATAAAGATGTATGTTGGCAAACAATTGTATTGCCCAATTCCATATTAAATTCTGGAAATACCAATGAACTACAATGAAGTCTATATTGATATCAAGATTTAATATTAATAAGAATATGTCTTTATATTGTAGGCTGTTACATCTAGATAATTAATATGACACTTTGATCCCAAAAAAAATACCACATTTATAGAAAAATTGACAAATTAAGTTATTAAAGTTTATCATTAACAAAAAAAAGTTTGCAAGGTCATGTATAGGTCACTTAATTTAGCCTGAATTGCCATTACTTTGTAGTAGACTGAACATACAGGAAGCATACATATTTTGACAAATACATTAACAACTAGAAATGTGTCGTCACGCCACGGATGCCTCGCATGCAACTAAAATTTTCAGATGTTATAATATTAAGTTCCACATTTGTTTGCACAAACTATTTTTTTTTTTCATTTTAAGTTCAAAGCCCAAACTATATCAAAGTTAACAAAAAACCATTTTTTTTTTAAAAAATTCAAGGGACTGAAAATATACAGTGTTAAAACCCTTTTTGGGGGGATACCACATTTAAATCACAAATTTGAAAGAAATTAACTAATATTTTTCATATTCACATAAAAATAAAGGGGAGACGTTTAAAAAAATTTTTATATTAAAAATCTTTTAAAACTTTTTTTATTTTTTTGATGCGATATGATGGGGGGTAAAATTTAAAAATTTAAAAAAAACGCAATTTAAAACGGAAGGCCAAAAGGAAAAAAATGTTTTTTTTTTTTTAAGGAACCTTAAAAAACAAAAGGAACAAAATTAAAAGATTTTTTTTCACATTTTTTTTTTCATTTCTTTAAACATATTCCTATTTTAATTTTGCTTTACAAAAATTTTTAAAACAACAAAAAAATTGAATTTTAAAATTTTAAAGTTGTGTTTTTTCTGAAAATTTTTTTTTTTTCAAATTTTTAAAAAATTTTTTTTTTTTCAGTTGAAAAATTTTTCCATAAAAAGGGGTTTTTCACCTGGGGTCCCTTGGGAAAAATTTTTGTGTTCAGAGGGAAAAAAAACAACAAAATAAAAAAAATTTTTTTTTTTTATTGAAAGGTTTTTAAAAAAAAAAAAAAAAAAAAAAAAAAAAAAAAAAGAGAATTTAATTGGGGAAAATTTTCTGAAAAATTTTTCAAAAAAGGTTTTTTTTTTTTTTTTTTTTTTTTTTTTCAATAAAATTAAAAAACAAAATTTTTTTCCATTTTTGTTATGGAAAAGATCATATACCTATGGCTATTGCCCCTCCCTGAAAAATGTATTTTTATCCACTTGATGAAAAAAAAATCCTGTTTTATTAGAAAAAAAAAAAAAAAAATATCCTATATATTTCACTGACTATTTCCCGAGTAATATCCTTACGAGTAACATAGCCACAAGTGAAGATATGATAGCTGGTGTTCATGAGTGAAATATGTTTCAATCTTACAGGTAATCTCTAAGAATCTTACACTGGCTGCCAGTACAGACCGGAATATCTAGCTCGAGGGTACCTGTTTACTGCGGTAACAAGGCTCTGCCGAGTGTCCGCTAAACAGTTACCCCGAGAACTAGATATGCCCATCTGCACCGACAGCCTGTGTTTGATTCTTTTTTAGCACATTACATATAAATTATTTTCAAAACAAATTATGAAAACTGATATTCTCATTACGCACCTTTTTCTAATAGTTGTGTATGAACTTACAACTTTATTCCTAACAGTTAAGTGACATTATCCTAAGAATAATTCATTCATAAATAGCGCGCCGCAATGACGTCATTTAAAGCACGCGACTCGACTTACATGGGGGTTGTAAGATTAGAGTTTTCTAGCACCAATATAAACGGTAGATAATCCATGTCTGATATACAAGAAAAACAAATATTCTATTTATTTCATGCATTTTAAGTCATTTTTACTGATTTTGCTCTGTAACCTCGTAATAATAACTGTCTTTTATTTCAATATTTACTGTGGAAATTATCAATACCATTTTACTTTTAACTCCAAAGCATGTAACAAATGGAGCATATTCATGTGAAAAGAAACAATTTCCTTTTCATGGGTCATGACAATATCTTTACAGTAAGAATGAATGACATTTCACACTTATATTGTACATGTACCTTAAAATGTATTTATGATACTTGATCTAGCCCTCATTGCATTGGGTTCATTATTCACAATCATGTCATTATTATTATCATTGTCAATTTCAATGTCTTCAAGTGCCATACCATCATCTATACACAGATTGTGTAACTTGGCACAAACAACAAACACTTTAGCGCATTTTTCTGGAGAAAACTGTAGACAACCTCCTGTCTTGTGAAGGCACCTGTAAAAATATAAAGTGTGTATGAAATAATACTTTTTTTGTAATTTATAAGTCATTTTTCCTGGTTTATAATTCTTTTCATTTTCATTAAAATATAAACTGGCTATAATTAAATTTATCTAAGGTAATTTCACAATTAAAAATATCAAATACTTTGGCTTGGCTGTGTTGAGAAGCATGTAATAAATAAAGCAATTGTCCATTTTATTTTAGTTTAATGAAATTTTAGTATAGTAACATCTCAGATATTTCTCAATGGTGTGTATGTTACAGTTTATTTACATACATCACATTATTACTTACTTTCTTCTAAATTGTTACAAATCAAAACTTTTGTTTTAAACTAAAAGAAAAACATACAAGATAATGAATTGCTAGAATTGAACTTGTAGTAATAAAAATAGTTATGTTATCATATGCATATAGCATAAAGCAACATATTACTGTTTAAATTTAATAGACTATTAAGTTTTTATAATCTTAAGTGATAAGATGTTAAAAAAATTATTACATTTAAGTGTATAGTAACAAATATACAAATTAATGACCTACCGAAAACGACTTTTCAATATACCAAAGGCTCTCTCAACCACCATTCGTGTTCTGCTGTGTGCATTATTGAATGAGACCTCTTGTCTGGTAGATGGATTAATCTGCATGAGATATAACAAAAGTTTTTTTTCAATTGTTGTTGAATTTATAGTTGTGATTATGATATTTTACATTTCTTACAATCACATGTTAATAAAGACTTTTTGAAGTTTCATTTTTCACCTGTTTAATCCTGTTTAAAGTGAAATACATTACATTTATAAAACAACTTAATATATTATACAAATAAAAATTTCCTAGATTAGCTTGTATCTAGAAATAAATGATAAATTAATTGTTGAAATATAAAGATGATACATAAATAACTGAAAATTATACTCTGTTGTGATACATTTAATATTTCAGAATATGAAGGACCATGACATAATAACTACTTTTTTCATTTGAATGAGTATGTACATGTTCTAATTTAATGTTATATTATAATTATTTATCTAATTTTGGAAATAATATTAGATTAAACAGATATGTTTAAACTGAACTTGTTTGCTGTTTCTTATTTCACAGTTTATCAAAGATATATGAATTTCATGATAGAGAAATTGTACCTTTGGTGTTAGCATGTAACTTTTGAGTGCATAACCTGAATCTCCTATCAACCAGCCAGGGGTTCCATTTTCTATCCACTGTTTAAGCCCACAGTTTTCAAATATGATATTATCATGTGTCGAACCAGGCCATTTCGCTACAACATTGGTGAATCTAGGAAAAGAAGAAAATATGATATGAATACAACCTTTTAAGATGCTCCACTAAGGTAATAAAAGCTAATACATAAAATTTGAAATCCTACATAGATGAAATTTTTTTCATTAGGTGTCACTCTGAAGTTGACTTTTGACCTCAAAATTAATAGGAGTAATCTACTGAATTTGTGAATCGTCCCTAGCTAGTTACATTAACCATGGCTTACTCTTTCTCAAGTTGTCATGCCGACTATGACAATACGGTGTACATATGTACAGATTAACCCCATCACAGGATGCTCCCCAACATTTTGGTTGGGGCAAAAAAGATAAACTCTGTAGAGTCCCTTGAAAGTTATATAAATGAATTTTGTATTCTATATACATTTGTACATATTTTATTATTTGAATACAGTAATGAACCAAAAATTAATAATCAACAAGTTTGCATTTCTGAAAAATGCTATGCCACCACATTAATACAACACTAAACTAATTAAACTTCATCAATGGCCAACCACATTGAAAGAAAATGCAACATACAAGAACCACAACTATCTTTAATTGCTCACAACCATAACTCTATATTTCAATTCTTTTACAAGGTATTCTGTTACTAGTAACATCCTCATTTCCGAATACGAAGCAGTCTTGTGGG